AAAAAAAAAAAAAGAATTATGAGAATATTTAATGAGAAAAAGGAGAAGGGAGGAAAAAACGTTAGGTTTAATTTCTTACTACACAGCTAAAGCCGAATTGCCTTTTTTTTATAAGAAAAACAAACAAACAAACAAACAAAAAATGAAATGAAACAAGATGAAATGAAACAAAGCTAAGCAAAGCAAAGCAAGACACAACATAACTAACATAACATAACACAAAACAAAAACACGCAAATCCAAAGACAAAAACACACACAAATCCAAAAACGAAAAACACGCACACACGAAAACGAAACAAAACAAAGCAAAACACAAAACGAAACAATGCACACACACGAAACGAACTGAAGACAAGACACATGAACAAAACGAGCCGAAACAATTGAAACAAAAGAATTAAGCACTGTAAGAATACCGTTAATACGAAGGTATGGCAGAAAAAAGCAAGAAAGAAAATAGGAAAGGTGTAAAGTAACAAGAAGGAAGAAGAGAAACCTATGAGTTGAAGACCATTGTTATTTCACGCTACGCGGCTGCGATTAGCTCAGCAGACCGTGCCCGGAGTGAAAGCTAATGGTATTCTAAAAACCCTTCAGTTCAGATTCAGTTTCATGGAACTCTCGGTCACCCGCTGCGACTTCTGATCATATAGAATTAACTGCAATCGATATCTGTACTTTTTTGTATCCTGTGCTGTATCTGAAAGTAGTAAGCTTATAGTGAAAACCTTTTAATATTGTTTCAAGGAGTAAAATGCGAAAGAGGAATAGAGAACTTGTTAATATTATACAATCACCATTAACATCCGCATAAGAAGCGAAGGAAAACATCACTAATCCATCATCTGAATCGATTTGAGTTCAGTCGTGGAAGAAACTACAAAATAATACTTGATAGTGTATAAAGTACTTGCAACATGGATTATGCAAAGTTATAAAAACGTTGATAGTGTTGGCGAGAAACGCTTGCTAGACTTTCGATTCCAAACGCCTTCAATGAGTCAATAGGGACTTCAAGATTTTTAAAATCTACGACGGCGACGTCAACCGGAAGTATGAATAATTTCTCTTTGGGGTGCTGTTCATAAGAGATTTCATTCAAAACATTGTCAGTARAGTCAACTCATCCACAGGGAAGACAGATTTTAAAGTCTCGAAACCCCAAAGTGAAGTAATTTACACTTCCGGTCGACGTCGCCGTCTCAGATTTTGCAAATCTTAAGTCCCTATTAATAAATCCCTAATATTTTCCAGAAGACTTCGGATTTTTGTAAAATACTCCAATGTATCTTCTCGTAAGCAATCTCAAAAGAAATAATTGAACATTTAGCTTAAAGTTTGGCAACTTTACCTGTTTCCAATTGCAGTCGGTCAATCAGCGATAAAACTCGTCTGTTTTACTTCTTCTGCATCATTAGAGTTGGGCGGTCCGCTCAGTAGCCTATGATGCATCGCTCTCATTGTAATTCTAGGAATGTTGCTTTGATGACGACATCAGTTTGGGTCTTTTGGATCTACCTTCGGTGTATAGATAACTGTATCTTTCTGCAAGTTTGCTAGGACTGCATTAGTTAGTTTACCCACTGAGCAGGGTTCGTACAGATTTCTCAGTGAAAATTTCCAAAACTTTTCTAAAAGTTTCTCTAAGCCTATCAACTAAAATTTCCAAAACCACATAAGCAAAAAAATATRGTGAAATTCATGGATGAAAAAACATTCAACATACAAACCAAAACAAAATGTGGCACTCTGCTGACCAAAAGTGCCAGCGGCCATCGATTTGCAAGCAGGAAAAATAAACATCGGCGTTTTTAATTAATACAACGAAAATAATTCTTTGCAAGGTAGGACCAGGGCAACCAACAGAAAAAAATCATAACTTTTCCATAGCCCAGTGGTCGAAAAAGAAATTTCCAAAACTTTCCAGGTCCTGGAAAAATGCATTATTGATTTCCAAAACTTTCCGAGAGTTTCCAAAACCCGTACGAACCCTGTTTACCATCTCCCTGGTTTAACCATGGAAATTCAATTTGTCACGCAACAAAAATCGATGTCGAAAAAATATTGCTAAAGTGATAAATTTTGTGACCTGAGTTATTGATATTAATTGCCTTTTTAGTTTGCTGCGCGTGATATTGAAGAATTAAAAAATGGTACTGATGGGCAATAAAATAAAAAATTGTTGCAAGAAGCAGAAGCATACTTTCTACATTTTTTGCAACAAGCAGCATCCCTTTTATCTCATTCGCTTGAAATATTTTCATTTTATTAATGAATGCAATATATGATTTTTTTACAATATAATTTAACAATATATTTTTTTCAGTGAATAATTCATTAAAAAATTAAAAACATTAGAATTCAGTTGAAGTTCATAACTGTTTTACAATTATGTCCAAATCAACTCTATTTGGCAACCTGATTTTTTAAGCATCTGATTTGCAGCTTCAATATCCATGCGATTTACCTTCCAGCAATCACTAACATTCAAGGTTTCTAGATATCTACAGGAATTCAGGAAGAGGAAAACCAGTTCCTTAGTTACTAGTGGACATCGAGAAATATCACTTTCTCTTAGTCTGGAAAAGGCTGGTGATTCAATAAACTTGAAGATATTTTCATATTTTAAATCCTCAATGCCAGAAAGATTCAAGTTTTCTAAATCACATAAAGAAGTACAGAAAATTGAAGATAAATGTTCTGTTAAGGGTTTTGATCCTGAGAATGTGCAGTGCTGAAGATTAAGGCATTTTAAGTGAGGACAAGCCTCCAATAATGTAAGAATTTTGTCATCTTTCTTAATGAATGACCCTGAAAGATTACTTGAGTCTGTGAGTAAGAGGTTTGTTAGATTACTGCAGTATTGTCCTACTATCTCAGTTTCAATATTGCAGGACGTTGGTAAATGTAATGTTTCAAGGTGATACCCATGTTCTACAAGAAATGGTTTAAGCTCTTTGTCAAAATCAAAACCTGACCCATCTAGGTGTAGATGCTTCAAATCACACAGAGATTTTAAATATTCAAGGCACAAACCTGTAAGGTTAGGACATTCTGTTAAAATAAGATTGGAAAGACTAGGACAAATCTTACTTAAGTTTTTCACAACTGAGTCATCAATGGATGTATTAGAGAGATCTACAAACTTTAGCTTAGTTGCTCCTAATGACAAGTAGCTCTCATTGAAATACATTTTCTGGCTTGATAATGGATGACAGTAAGATAACGAAAGGCTCTGGAGATAAGGCTGGGTAACCAAGAGGTTAAAAACTCCTTCACTGGAAACACTGGTTGCTGAAAGGCTTATCTCAACTATTTTGAAGCAATTTGTTGCTGTAGAACTCTCGCCACATAATTCTTTTATCCCCAAATCTGTCACTTTTTTGCAGGAATCTAGTTTTAGTACATGAAGGTTTTTGCAGTTTTTACCAAGGCTGGCCAGGACATGAYCGTTACATTGAGAACAGCCACTTAAATCAAGAGAGCGCAAATTTGGAAGACCAAGAGTCAACTCTTGCAGGGTTTTGGAGTTGATGCGGGCACAGTTTTGCAGCATAAGGTGAACTATTTTCTGAAATTAGACATATTTAAGAAACATCTTTTTAAGAAAAAAAAGTGGGCATTAAGTTTGAGAATATAATAGACTAGCAAATTTTACGTGAGAAACTTCTAAATCCTTTGGGACATTTTGAATTCATATGCTAATTAAATACATCCACTAGTGTTGTATCAGAACAGTATACATCCAGTAATCGCATGTGCACTGGAAACGATTCTCAAACTATGAACTGGCTTATTGGCAAGGATAAAACTGTCCCCCCCACCCAGTAATCCCTGATAACTTGTTGATTAGAAAATTACCTTACATCTCCTGGTTATAATCTTAATTATTGAATTAGAAATAAGAAAGCTGCAAGCACTAAGATCTAATGACGTCAATCCACAGTGCAGTAATGTGCGTAGATAGGAAGCTTTCAGTTGTTTGTTCTTAACCAGGATGTCAAGAAGCTCCTGAATCTGTTTAGAACCTTGAAAAGGAAATAAAATAATTGAATTATAAAACTTTATAGATTAAATATTGAAAGGATGTATAGATATSATGGCAGTTGATAGAAGGGGATGGGATATAATGGGATTGAAGAATGGTGGATATTGGATAGATGGATGCATGGATAGATAGGTAGATGAACAGGTGAATGAAAGGATGGATGGACTAACAGATGAATGGATGGATGGATAGATAGGTATGGAAGGATGGATGGATAGACTAACAGATAAATGGATGGGTGGATAGATAGGTAGATGGACAGGTGGATAGAAGGATGGATGGACTAACAGATGAATAATGGATGGGTGTAAAGGATGGAATGCAAGATTACTTGATTGAAGGATGGTGGATATTGAAGATATGGATGGATGGATAAGTTGATGGATGAAATGGTACATGAATGGATGGTTGAAATAGAATGGGATTGAATGAATGAATGGATGGATAGATGGATATAAGAATGATGGGAGGGCATCAAAATCCAAATCAATCAATCAATCAAGAAAAAATCAAAATGATGACTTACAAAAATTATGGATGTAGTGTTGATAAAACAATAAATATATAAGTTTATGAATATGTTAACATATAATAAATGATAAAACTTAGTCTAAAAATGCCCAATTTAACCAGAAAATCGTAAAAAAACCTATTCGAGAACTGTTTCACGTTACCTAAGTTGTCAAAGGGTCCCAAGACATACAAGTACTCGATCTTGTCGTCCTGATGGACATCTTCAGAGCACCAAATCGTGATGTCTTTAGCTATTCTATTCAAGCACATACGCTGAAGAGAAGTGAAACCCATGCTGAAATGTTCTTTCCACACACAAGGTTCGCCGATCTGGATGAATAATGATAAAGAAACGTCTTAAAACATTGTCTTTCCAGTTTTCACCTTAATGGTGCAACAACATGAGCCCGCGATTCGAGTCAGCGGTTAGCATACTACTTCATGGGTGATATCATGATAATCATCGGTATATCGATATGTTTTATTGAGACACAATGATTTCAACTCACCGAGTGTCTACCCATTGGCGGGTTATTGGTAATCCAACCCATCAAGCATGAATGAAGTCTGGAGTATTTTTATTATTGGGTCAAGACAGCGCTGGATTTTGTTTTGATTTATGGAAGGAGATAAAATTTGCRATGTTAAGTCCCGCAAACGTCGCCTCAGCTCATCAAATTTGGAGAAATCTTTAACGAAGAAAACAAAGCCAAAGAATTCCAGTCCGAGCGAAGTCCCTAAGAACATCAACGCTGAAGCGTTAGTCTTTTCGAAATTAGAAGATTCTACGATGAGCTCGTTAAAGCCTAAAAGCAGCCCTAAACGAAGTGCTCTACGACTAACAAAGACAAAAAAGAAAGGTTCATCTAAGAGCCAAGCAAAAGCTGAAAATTGCATTCAAAACTACTTGGGAACGTGTTTTGAAGTGAAGGTTGTAGACGTGAAGAGAGAATTGTTAGATACAGCCACGCTAAGTGAAGTACAGTACTGTCCAAGATGTCAGGCGCCATTAACAGCGTCAATTATTCAAGAACATGTCTTTGAGTGTCTGGAATCAAATCTGCGATCACAAGGTTATGTAATGTTGTTAATAAATAAGTAGCACATTATTGGTATTTCAAGAGTACACCTTTTGCTGTTCATTAACGTGAAGACAAGCTTCAGTACAAACAACACTATATGAGGCATGATGAATAAAAGATGTTTGTATTAAAGCAAGACCACAATACACCATGTCCGCTATCTCAGAAAAGGTCTATGTGCACTCTAATCATTTAGGTTTTCATTTTTTATTTTTTAATAGATATTTTCAAGACTTGGTATTTTAGATTGGAGACAACTGCATGCATGCATACTGTTAGTCACTAAGAGTTGTACAATCATGTATTTTTTCTAATATTCAAATTTCGTGCCTCCTGATTTACTTATAGGTCCATGTCCTAATGGATTAGCCTGCAATAATCAAGACACAGTCCATTTTCAACAGTATAACCATGATCTGTTAGCCTTTAGTCGCAGTAATTCTGCAACATCAAGTAGTGAGGTACAGTACACCTACACTCTGTATCTTCTTTTAAAATAACATGACATCAATACACTGTAAGTAAAAAGTTTTACTATCTTTTTAGGTGAGAAATACAAAACAACAACATGAAGCAAGTGCAAATATTGAAGTGAACCCTACTAGTGGTGAAAGAATAAGTGCACACAGAGATGACAATAAAACAGAAAAAAATGATGATAAATGTCTTAATAGTGAGAGGAGTAGCAGACTTGATGATACTGTTGAAAGAAGTAAAGGTAGCAATCAATACAGTGACAATAATTTGGACAAAAGTGGATTCGATGATAATGACTTGGGAAAACTTAGTGAATTGAGAAACCACCAAATCACTGTGAACAAATGCAGTAGCAAGAAAGATAATGCTGACAGGATAAGTGGCACCAATGAAGATTTAGTAAAACATGGAGCAAAAAAGAACAAATTAGAAGAAAATGGTTTGAATAGTGGAAATATAATTGGTACTACTAATGGAAGTTGTCATGAGTGTAAATCCTTGTCTGATGAAAGTATCAGGAATGACAAAACTCACCAAGTCTTAGCCTCCTCATGCACAAAAAAAGAAGATAAAAGCATTGTTGATATCAGCTCGAACCCTAATGATGAATACTTTTCTAATGCCGATGATGAGCTATTAGCACGATTAGTATATCCCGATGATAAACTCCTTTCCAAAGCAACAAAATATTCCTTTGTATCAAACAATAAATTACCAAATAAAAACACTGACATCGTACCAAAAAATGCACTCTATAAAAATGAATCGGAAACCTTTGAGAGTAGTAATGAAGGTATGGCAAAGTTTCCTGAAGTGATTCAGCCTAATAAGTCACAGGAATCAAAAAGTTGTCTTAAAAGTTACACAATATCAGCTGGTAACTCTAAAAGAATTACGAAACAGCAAGACATTGGTACATACTTTGGTTTAAAGCCATTGGTTAAACCAGAGGAAAGATCCCAGAGTGACTCGGCATCAGAAGAAGTAAGTTTACCAAAAAGGAGAAAACAAAACTGGAATGAAAAAAGGACCAAAATGGATGAACAGATGCAAACTTCTGAAGCAAGTGAGAGTGACTCTTCTGTGAATACAGCTTGGGATGGTGGTTATCGCACAAAGAAGTGCCCTTTTTACAAGAAAATACCTGGTAAACTATAATATAACTGTTGCCTTCAATTAAGTGATCACAAACCCATAGCCATGCCGGTAATCAATATGACATATAAAATAATTGGGACACTACGCACGCTATGATTGGTTGAAAACTATGTTTGATGAGAGTATCAAAACACGCTATTGTCATTTTAGTGCGCGCTAGTATCGCAACTGTCAGATTTTAATATATCGCGCGCTCATTGGTCAGTTTGAAAAAGACGGCACGTAGGGAGAATTTACTTAGGCTTTGGGTTTCTTCCATCTTTTTGCATGTTTGTTATTTTATAAAACAAATTAAAAACAGTTTTCCGTGTTTGATACTCTGATCAAAACACTTGGGATGTTGGGAGAACACTCGAGAAGCTGGAAACCACTCCGCTACACGTCATGGTTTCCTATGCTCCTCTCATGTTCTCTCAACATCCCACATGTTTTGACAGATTGATTTGTTAACTCAAAATAATTGTTAGTAGATAATTGGGTAGCCTAGGTTATCAATAGGTTGCTGCTAGGTTATGGCTATGATGTCAGTAGGAAAATAGTGGGTTAATAATATGCTGTTCACTATAACATCCTACCAACACCAAATTTGGGGTTCTATTGTTTACTATTAGCCATTCAGAGGTTGAGGGGAAAACTAGGCAAATTTGGCATTAAGGTGCATTGTGGAACTGTTTCAGGGTATAATTTGCAATATGATGTCTCTGTCATCCCCTAAAGCAGTCCCACCAATTCACTGCAATGCCAACGTAACACAGTTTTTTTCTTAACCTTGGAATGGCTAATCATCCGCCATGCTCCAGGCATGTGTTTATTATCTGTAGTTGATAGTTATTTCAAACTGATTTTTTAGGAACACCTTTTGTGGTAGATGCCTTTCGCTATGGTACTATTCCTGGTATAAAGGCCTATTTCTTGAGTCATTTCCATTATGATCATTATGGGGGTCTGAGTAAGAACTTCTCTCACCCAATTTACTGCAGCAAGGTAAACCTATTCTCACATTTTAGAACACAGTTTTTGTGACTTTCAGATCTTTGTCACATTGATAATTTTATGCTCTCAACCCACAAGAGTTGATTGACCTAGAGTGGGACACACACTAACCTAGATTGGGTCACAGGCTAACCTAGATTGGGACACACTGTCCTAGATTGGGTAACACACTAACCTAGATTGGGACACACACTAACCTAGATTGGGACACACATTGACCTAGATTGGGACAAGCACTAACCTAGATTGGGTCACACACTAACCTAGATTGGGACACACACTAACCTAGAT